ATGCATCCCTTACACACAAGAAACACACAATACATCCCTTATACACACACACACACTGCATCACCTACACAAACTGGTATCCCTATACACTACATTCCGTAAGCACACACATTAGATCCTCTACAGTAACACATAACATATCCCCTACACACTCTACTCCCTGTGAGTTCATGGGTGGAACATGTAGGTGGACTTATGGGTGGGCTTTATGGGCATACTCACCATCAGGCCCTGGGGCCCAGACCTTGAGCTATGTAAGAGGCCCCAAAAAATTGAGCTGATTCCTGTTCTCCCAGAACATTGAATTTTGTGACCACAGTTACAAACAGCCTCCAGAGATCCTGTTCTACACCAGACCAGTGGAGCCAGACTGCAGCCAGAGCCCATCACCATCCTCATCTGATTGTAAGTAGGCAATCTAGTATATTATTAGTGACACTAATCTCTAATTTACCTCACATTAAATGGACACAATAGTCCCCAGAACCACTGCAGCTTAATAAAGTTGTTCTGGTGTCTATAGTTTGTCCCTGCAGGCTTTTTAATGTAAACACACACTGTGTGCAGCACTGGCATTAGTTCATATGGGTGGGGCATTGCGATGTTCTTGGGGGGGGGGGAGGGAGGGCGGCAAATCCTTCTTTTGCCTAGGGCGGAAAAAATCCTTGCACCGGCCCTGGAACCACCATACTTGTTTCCTAGGTCTATCCGCTTGTACATATACAGATCAAATTCTTCCCTTCTGTTAGGGTACACTGCACAAATGACATCTCTATATATACCAAACGCCAAAACAAACTCAGGGATGGTCAGTTTCCGGTTTAACTTAGAATCCCTGGATCTGACCACCACAGATACATCATCAACATATCCGTTGTTTTCTACAATATTCTAGGAGGCAATTAGTAGAGATGCTAAGTTGACATCTTTACCTTCCAGGATATCTTTTTATATGCGTTTTTATATTTTCTTTACTTATGGATATGTTTCACTAGGCACGTTATGGCACTGTTTTGTTTAAGTAGATACTATACTTTATTGAGCTACCTTAGAGCAGTTTGAGGACTGCATTTAGGAAGTGAGGTACTACCTATTACTTAGACCGTTGGATTTACATTAAATATAGGTTGCTATCTGTCCTCAATATCTTTACCTAAATGACTGCTCTTTACCCTATAATCTATTCATAGATATGTCATTGAGCATTCTAAGCATCATGACATCTATGTTCTACTTTTGTTACTCCTCCTTACTTATTTTTTTCTAAAATTATTTTCAACTATATGGTCGTACCTAACTTGTAAATATACCTATAGCCCCTTGGAGATAATTACTTTATGCATATACATTATTTCTTATTATTTTTTATAATTTGTTGGAGCTATTTCTCTAATCAGCGTATGGAGCATTTGACCATACTGTATAGTTGGATTTAACTTTAAATTAAGGGGTGCCTATACAATATCTGGCAAACATTTAAGTGGTAGTCTCAACTATTCCCCGTTTGGGTGGTTAGATTAGATCCAGATAAATAGCAGTGTAGAATCGTTAAGAACCAGTCTGAATAAAGCTCAGAATTTCTATCTATTGCTAAGGATATACTGGTAACATAACTATACCACCCAGGGATTACGATATATATTTGTATCTACTTGACTTTTTAATTCACATCCTATAGGGATACTTTCTTATTTTGTATCAAGTATATTTTATGATTTTCTCCTAGACTACTTGTATATGTCCAGGTTACACAGATAGCCACATTTTGACTTATGGCATGGTGACTAATCTTCTGTGTGTCTTTTCTAATATATGTACAACATAAAAGCAAAGTACAGTAACCTGTAAAACTATTTAAACACCGTATGCCATAATGGTTATAAATATGTACCAATCTTAACACATTATGTGCAGCATGTACAAGTGTAGAAGAAAAGTACTCTGTCCAAATCATTGTATGCTGTATGTCCCCCTGCTAGGGAGACGCGTTTCGGCAATTAGCCTTTGTTCACCTCTGACGAAGGCTAATTGCCTAAACGCGTCAGGTGCTGTGGACTTCAACTTTTTTGGACTTCTGTTACAATATTCCTGTTTTTATTTGTTTCCTGTATTTTGGAAAATAAAGTTTCCCTGATTCTGCATCCTGGAGCTACCTTATACAGGATACTAAGGTGGAGTGCCCAGCTGAAGTCTACTTTGTTCAAGAAATGCAGTTTGAGCCAGCTTATTAAGTGGCTCTCTATATGTAAGAGTGAGGAGTAATTTGAGTGAAACAGAGTTGTCACAAAAAACAAACCCAGTGGAGCGCTTAAAAATAGCTTACCCTTATATTAAAGGGGTACAACTATATGATGAGAAATATCTGGAGAAAAAGAGATAAATGGAAACAATGTGGTGCAGTATATCCAAAACTTAATAGGTGGTTAAAAAAGGTCTAATGTACCAAACTCACATTGCTTAAAGAAAAAGCCTTTGCAGCAAGGTGAAACGCGTCTCGGGCAGTTAGGACTTTTAATTGACCATTATTACATGGTATTTTTATTTCTATATTTTATGTATGTTTATTATTAAATTGTTTTTATTTCGTATTGAGTCCTAAAGAGCTGCAGCATTTTTTCCTGTTTTACAAGAAGAGTTGTGCCCTCTTAAAAGCACACTGCGGTTTACACTGAGAGCCCAATTATCTTTGGCTCTCAATAAGGTGAGCAAGTACTTGCACCAATTGATATTGTGATATTGATCTAAAAGGATAATATACTAGGACTTTGTTCCTATTTTTTCTTTTCGAGTACCTGGATGGCACTATAGAAGAAGTTGGGGACATGGGGATATGCACTGGATGGACAAGATCTTCTAATTATCTGCTGTGGCCACCCCCCAAACTAACCTTACGGCCAATAGCTTTGCATATTATTTTACCGGCAAGATTGAACAGCTAAGGAAAGACTTCTCCCCTCCTTGCAGTTCTCTTTCTAAACCACAAGTAGATCATACCTTTCCAACCCTTCTGACGTTCTCCCCGGCTACTGACCAAAAGGTGGCTCTTTACCTCTCGCCCCACCACTTGCCCGCTCGATCCTGTCCCAATCACCTTATCAGAGCTCTCTCCACTTGTCTCGTGCCTTCCTTAACACACCTTCAACTGCGCTCTCTTTTGGCGTTGTCCCTGCCACCTAAACATGCCACTGTAGTACCTATCTTGAGAAAAAAAAAAAGCGCATCTCTTGACTCGCCCTCCCCCTCTAACTATCATCCTATATCCCTGCTCCCTTTTTCCTCAAAGCTTCTGGAAAGACTTGTCTTTACCCGTATGTCTCACTTCCTTAATTCCAACTCTCTCCTTGACCCTCTTCAATCTAGCTTCCCCACTCTCCACTCTACTGAGACTGCGCTTATCAAAGTTACTAACGACCCAATTGCAGCTAAATCCAAAGGCCACCACTCCATACTATTTCTTCTTGACCACTCTGCTGCATTTGACACTGTTGCTCTCCTTCTCCAAACTCTTCAATCACTGTCTCTGACTGTCCTCTCGTGGTTTTCCTCCTATCTCTCCCAATGCTCATTCAGAGTCTCCTTTTCTAAGGACACCTCCTCCCCTCGATCTGTCTCGGTTGGAGTCCCCCAAGGCTCTGTCCTTAATCCCCTTCTATTTTCGCTTTATACTGCGTCTCTTGGCAAACTTATTACCTCTTTTGGATTCCACTACCACCTGTATGCTGAGGACACCCAGATATCTCTCTCCTCCCCAGACCTCTCTCCTGCAACGTGTCACTGCTTGCCTTTCTTCCATCTCTGACTGGATTTCCTCCCGCTTTCTGAATCTCAGTCTCTCTAAAACTGAGCTCCTTGTCTTTCCTCCTCCTAATACTGATGCTCCTCTTTCGCTCTCCCTTCAAGTTAGTGGTATCCACATAAGTCCATCCTTGCAAGCACGCTGTCTTGGCATCAAACTGGATTCTGTCCTCACATCCAGTATGTTGCCAAATCCTGTAGATTCCATTTTAAAAACATAGCCCACATCCGCCCCTTTCTTACTCAAGATGCTACCAAGGAGCTTGTCCATGCTCTAGTAATTTCACGCATGGATTATTGCAACTCTCCTTCCCAAAAGCCGTACTGCACAGTTACAGTCCATAATGAACGCTGCTGCCAGACTGATTTTCCTCTAGTCTGTTCTCGCACACCTCACCCCTTTGTCAGTCCTTACATTGGCTTCCTGTATCCTTTAGGAGTCAAGTTAAAAGTACTAATTCACACCTATAAAGCACTGCACAATTCTATCCCCTCTTACATCTCCTCACAGATTCATAAGTATGTCCCTTCTCGGTCTCTCCGCTCTGCCCGTGACCACCTCCTGTCTGTTGTTCGCACCTGTACAGCCAAGTGACGCTTGCAGGACATCTCGCGGGCGGCTCCCTTCATATGGAATAGCCTGCCTACCTCCATAAGACTCTCCCCTAGTCTTGCATCTTAAGTGCCTTAAAACTCATCTCTTTAGGAAAGCTTAGGCCTCCCAGAATAACCTCTACCTTACATACCTGTCTTGCTCTCTCCTAAAGGGCAGCACTCTACTCTCTCCTCCAGCTCTGCCTCACTCCCACCTTATTTGATTGCAAATTCCTGTCCTATCGTGTGTTATAGCCCACCTCCTATAGAATGTAAGCTTGTTTGAGCAGGGTCCTCTTCAACATATCGTTCCTGTAAGTTTTTTGTAATTGTCCTATTTATAGTTAAATACCCCCTCTTATTAAATGGTAAAGCGCTACGGAATCTCTTGGCGCTATATAAATGGCAATAATAATAATAATATTATTATTATTATTATTATTAATAAACACCAGCAGAGCTCCAAATTACATCTTGTGAAGGAATAGCTGCACTTTTCTAGATATTTGGAATTCACTTTTGGATTTCTACGCTTAGGAAGTCAGAAGAGGAAAAAAAATAAAAAAAACTTTCTAGGAGTTTTTCATTAAAAGAAAAAAATGCAACACAAATAAAGCAGGAAGCCACATTTTATGGGATTTTTGCCAGTGTTAACTTTATATTATTCTGAACTTTGAAATCACACAGAACCTCAAATATGAGGCATTTCTCTTAATTAAGCAACCAGTTTACAATGTGATGAATTGTAGGGTAAAACCATAATGTGGAGAGAGAGAGAAAAAGGGTGTGGGCTTTAAGTAGAACAAAAACATTTTATGGGAAAAGAGGGAAAGAACTGTATTAAAAAAAGTTGACTAACTTCACATACATAAATCAGCACAAAGAAATTATATAAAGAGTACTGCCAAAACACAGTATAAGATTTACTTTTGCTTATTTATGCTCAGGGCATATGAATAGAGATTTGCTCCCAAGCTATTCTTGTAATATTTTACTAAAATATTAGTCACTACTGTTTTTCTTCTTTCTGGTCTGGCTTTTGTTGTTCACTTCCAGAGCTGTCTCTTTCTGAAGCCATCTGGCAAATAAAGAATTAGAAAGAAAAAAAAAAAAAAAAGTTAGTTTGCACAGTCCCCAACACCTGCAAATACACTGAACACAATTATAAATGCAACACTTGTTTTTGCCCCACCCCCACCCCCCATTTTTAATGAGCTGAACTCAAAGATCTAAGACTTTTTCTATGTACACAAAAGGCCTATTTCGCTCAAATATTGTTCACAAATCTGTCTAAATGTGTGTTAGTGAGCACTTTTCCATTGGCGAGATAATCCACCCACCTCACAGGTGTGGCACATCAAGATGATGATTAGACAGCATGATTATTGCACAGGTGTGCCTTAGGCTGGCCACAATAAAAGGCCACTCTAAAATGTGCAGGGGGGTCCAAAAACCAGTCAGTATCTGGTGTGACCACCATTTGCCGCACGCAGTGCAACACATCTCCTTCGCATAGAGTTTATCAGGTTGTTGATTGTGGCCTGTGGAATGTTGGTCCACTTCTCTTCAATGTCTGTGCAAAGTTGCTGGATATTGGCAGGACCTGGAACACGCCGTCGTATATGCCTAACCAGAGCATCCCAAAACATGTCTGGTGAGTGTGTTGGCCAAGCAAGAACTGGGATGTTTTCAGCTTCCAGGAATTGTGTACAGATCCTTGCAACATGGGGCCGTGCATTATCATGCTGCAACATGAGGAGATGGTTGTGGATGAATGGTACAACAATGGGCCTCAGAATCTCTTCATGGTATCTCTGTGCATTCAAAATACCATAAATAAAATGCACCCGTGTTCATTGTCCATAACATATGCCTGCCCATACCATAACCCCACTGCCACCATGAGCCACCCGATCAACAATGTTGACATCAGCAAACCTCTTAATCACACTATGCCATACACGCTGTCTGCCATCTACCCTGTACAGTGAAAACTGGGCTGGTGTGGTTACACGTGGTCTGTGGTTGTGAGGCTAGTTGGATGTACTGCCAAATTCTCTGAAACGCCTTTGGAGACGGCTTATGGTAGAGAAATGAACATACAATTCACGGGCAACAGCTCTAGTGGACATTCCTGCAGTTGGCATGCCAATTGCACGCTCCCTCAAAACTTGCGACATCTGTGGCATTGTGCGGTGTGATAAAACTGCACATTTTAGAGTGGCCAGCCTAAGGCACATCTTTGCAATAATCATGCTGTCTAACCAGCATCTTGATCTGCCATACCTATGAGGTGGTGGATTATCTCGACCAACGAGAAGTGCGCACTAACACAGATTTAGACAGATAAGTGAATATTTGAGAGAAATATGCCTTTTGTGTACATAGAAAAGTCTTAGATCTTTGAGTTCAACTCATGAAAAATGGGTGCAAAAAAAAAAAAAAAAAAAAGAAGTGGTGTTTATAATTTTGTTCGGTGTAAAAATAGTTAAATTTACCTCTTTCCAGTGGAGAGATTGTGCCTTGCCACAACTCAACTCTACTTGCTACAGTAGTAAAAATACATCCAATCCCAGCTAACAATGCTTCAGAGACTCTCCCCTCCCCACCCCTAAAACAATATTCAACTCCTATAGAATGTAAGCTTGTGTGAGCAGGGTCCTCTTCAACCTATCGTTCCTGTAAGTTTTTTGTAATTGTCCTATTTATAGTTTAATACCCCCTCTCATTAAATTGTAAAGAGTTACGGAATCTGTTGGCGCTATATAAATGGCAATAATAATAATAATAATAATAATAAATAATAAACACCTGCAGAGCTCCAAATTACACCTTAACGCTGGAATTTGACATTTAAAATATTTTTAGTAGACAGAACATTTTTTCCATAATATTAAAAAATAATCCCCCCGAGCTCCCTCCCAAAAAACACCCCATCAATCAAAAAAATATTTGTATCTACACAGCCATGTATATTAACACTGGCCCAGTTTTAAACACTACTGATAACACGCAAAATACCTTTTTGTATGCCATTTCAAAGAGTTTCAGTGACGCCTGCTGAAGGGATGATGCAGCTTGTCTGATGTTTTCTCCAGTTTCTGTATCTTTACGTGCCAAGAGTTCTTTCATTTTGGCAATTTCTTCCTTGAGCTTGTTGCACTAGAAAAAAAAATAAAATAAAAAAATGTTGAATTACTATATGGTTTTGAGAAGGCTTGCTGTAAGATGGGAGAACTGCCTTCAATTAAAGAAGCTCCATGAAAAAAAAAAAAACCATAAGACTCAAATAGGAGGGAGAAAGTATGTCAATAATAAAAAAAACAAAAAAAAGACTTCTAACCTCATCAGCAGGCAACTGATCCTTAAATTCCTCCATTTTTGACTCCGTGTCATGAATAATTCCTTCAGCATTATTTACAGCTTCAACACTTTCCTAAAAGAAAAAAAAAAAAAAAAAAAATGTAATCATTTGATATGGTTGTAGTTTACAAGCATGTTTTATAAAGGTATCATCAGCAAAAACTGCTCTCGTTACAAATGAACAGAATTGGTTTTAAACCTGGATTACACTGACATTTCAAACTGGCAGAGACACTTGAAGAGGAACTTTCACTTCCAGCATGGTTTTCTCATGCCCTATGTTTAACAAAGGTGTTTTACAGAAATGAAAAAAAAAAAAAACCCTTTCAAAATGTAGAAATCCACACTGCTCTATCCTGGAGCAGAATGCATACATCTAAACCCACTGTGAGCCACTGTTACATGTGCAGCCATTTACAGCTGTCAGGTTACACATTACTTATCCGTGTTGTTCTCTGTGTCGGATTTGAAATGACATAATCCAGTTTAGTCCAAATGCGAAATCATATACACAAAAGCAATTCTATCGGGCATCTACTATTCCAATGTGTTGAGTGTACAAGTGAACAAAAGAAACATAGAATGTGACCGCATATAACCATTCGGCCTATCTAGTCTGCCCAAATTTTCTAAATACTTTCATTAGTCCTTTGCCTTATCTTATAGTTAGGATAGCCTTATGCCTATCTCATGCATGCTTAAACTCCTTTACTGTGTTAACCTCTACCACTTCAGCTGCAAGGCTATTCCATGCATCCACCTCCCTCTCAGTAAAGTAATACTTCCTGATATTTTTAAACCTTTGCCCCTCTAATTTAAGACTATGTCCTCTTGTTGTGGTAGTTTTTCTGCTTTTAAATATAGTCTCCATTACGGTGTTGATTCCCTTTATGTATTTAAATGTTTCTATCATATCCCCAGTCTCGTCTTTCCTCCAACCTATACATGTTAAGGTCCTTTAACCTTTCCTTGTAAGTTTTATCCTGCAATCCATGGACTAGTTTAGTATTCCCTTCTCTAAACTCTCTCCAAAAGGATCAACATCCTTCTGTAGATGCGGTCTCCAGTACTGCATACAATACTCCAAGTGAGGTCTCACCAGTGTTCTGTACAATGGCATGAGCACTTCCCTCGTTCTACTGCTTATACCTCACGTTAAAGGAACACTATAGTCACCTAAATTAATATAGCTAAATAAAGCAGTTTTAGTGTATAGATCATTCCCCTGCAATTTCACTGCCATTTAGGAGTTAAATCACTTTGTTTCTGTTTATGCAGCCCTAGCCACACCTCCCCTGGCTATGATTGACAGAGCCTGCATGAAAAAAACTGGTTTCACTTTCAAACAGATGTAATTTACCTTAAATAATTGTATCTCAATCTCTAAATTGAACTTTAATCACATACAGGAGGCTCTTGCAGGGTCTAGCAAGCTATTAGCAGGGGATAAGAAAATCTTAATTAAACAGAACTTGCAATAAAGAAAGCCTAAATAGGGCTCTCTTTACAGGAAGTGTTTATGGAAGGCTGTGCAAGTCCCATGCAGGGAGGTGTGACTAGGGTTCATAAACAAAGGGATTTAACTCCTAAATGACAGAGGATTGAGCAGTGAGGCTGCAAGGGCATGTTCTATACACCAAAACTGCTTCATTAAATTAAAGTTGTTCAGGTGACTAGTGTCTCTTTAATACAACCAAGCATTTTGCTAGCATTTCCTGCTGCTCTATTACACAGTCTGCCTACCTACCTTTAAGTCATCTGAAATAATTACGCCTAAATTCCATTTCATCTGATGTTTAGGTTAGTACTGTATCAAATCTATATTCTGCCCTTGGGTTTTTATGCCCAAAATGCATTATCTTGCACTTATCCACATTAAATGTCAGTTGCCACAGCTCTGATAATCTTGTTTACCTAAATCATTTGCCATTTGGTTTATCCTTCCTAGATCAACCTTGTTCCAAATCTTTGTATCAAGAGCAAAAAAAAAAAAAAATACTTATCAAAACCTTCTGCAACAGCACTACAAAAAAAAAATAAAAAAAAAATAAAATGTTCAGCATCTCCATTTACTGCATTGGGATGATGAATTTTCCTCATAGAGTCAATGCATCTCTATGAGGAGATGTTGATTGGTCAAGACAGTGTTTGCCCCCCTTGCCGATTTTAGCCAATCCAATGCTTTCCCTATGGGAAGTGGCTAAAAATCAATCACTTCTGATGAGGTCACCAAGGGGGTGGGGCCAGTGCCAGCAGACCCGCACGGCGCTGGAAATAAAGGTGTTTTATTAACTTTTGAGGGTTAAGGGTGGGACAAACCACCTAAATGGTGTGTTTTGGACCATGAGGTCATGAATACATGTTTGTGTTCTTGACCCTATAGGGATGCTTTAAAGAGAATGGGTCCAAGTACAGATCCCTGAGGTACCCCACTGGTAACTAGACTTTACTTCGAATATACTCTATTGACTACAACCCTCTGTTGCCTGTCACTTAGCCACTGCCTAACCCATTTAACAATATTGGAAACCAAACTTAAAGATTGCAGTTTATTAATAAGCCTTCTATGTGTGACCGTGTCAAAAGCCTTGCTGAAATCTAGATAAGCAATGTCTACTGCACCACCTTGATCTATTATTTTTGTTACCCAATCAAAAAAATAAATTAAAAAAACACCAATAAGGTTAGTTTGGTATGATCTCCCTGAAGTAAACCCATGTTGTCTTTGATCTTAAAATCCATGTGATTTTAGATGTTTAGCAATCCTATCCTTTAACATGGTTTCCTCCACTTTCCCCATTACTGCAATAAGGCTTACAGTTGCCCGACTCCTCCCTACTACCTTTTTTTTTTTTTAAATTATAAATATTTTAAAAACATTTTTGCTAGAATTTATAAATCAGAACAAAAAATAAATACATTTGACATTATAGTATAAAATCAAGCTTATGTTTATACATCATTTACTTTTTACAGTTTTATTTTTGCATAATTTCCATCATGCATACTGGACTAGGATACTGTTGTGTCTATAATACCAGGAAAGGGGTAATAAGTGTAGATTAGGGAACATTATGTTGAGTTTAAAAAAAATAAATAAAAATAAATATTGAATATATTTTTACAATTGTCCCTTGGAGTGGTAGTAGCCCATTCCATATCGTACTGGTATTCAATTTGATTAAACCCATTTTGGTTCTGATGAAGTTTTCCATTTTATAGCTATAGTCATTTTAATAGCCAATAAAATATGTGTAATTAGGTACTTATGATTTTTAGTATTGAATGGAAGATCCATATTTAATATGAAAGTCTGAGAGGAGATGCGATTTATACTGTCAAATATATATTTCAGGAGTGCTAGAAATTGTTTAAAAATGTGCATAGAAGAGTACATTCCCACCATATATGGTAAATATGTTCCTTATCAGTCACACACCTCCAACATAAGTCTGAATTTCATCTTGAGAGTTTGTGAAAAAAATTTTGGAACCATGTACCAGTAATATATCAATTTACAATATGATTCAACGAATGTAAGACCATGAATAGGTTTTCTAATCAATTGTATGTTGATACCAGTGTTCATTTACTACCTTTCTTGCAAAAAAGCAAAATGCCTGCTTGTACCTGTACTTCTGGTACAAAGTTATTGAACTTGCCATGAAAGGGGTAAAACACTTGTTCCATAAGCCAAAAACAAACACACATATTTAAAAACACACAACCACACCTACCAACAACACAGGTACATTAAGACATTAGGACAGATAATTACTTTTCTCCTTCGGTCTTCCTCTGCATATTTTTCTGCATTCTTCACCATGTTCTCAATGTCATCTTTACTCAGTCCACCAGAAGACTGTATAATGACTATTAAAAAAAAAAATAAAAAAAATAAAAAAACAGAAGTTACATAAGATAGAATAAATACACACCACCAGCATGGGCATCCACCACCCTATACTATCGATCACTTTCTCTTAAAACATACAACATAGAAAACAAACCATATCCATTTAATAGTAATATGTTGACTAAAAGCCATTTTATTTTCTTCTTTAAACTTAACAGCCCTTAAAAATTAAAATGGGAGTAAAGCCGCAATCTACCTGTGACATGCTAAAAGAACTAAACTGGCTGTCTCTGTAATCTAGATGCACCCTTCATCTTTCCAGCCTTGTGTTTAAGCGCTTTTTTTGGGAAACTCCCACCCTACCTGAGCAGAATGCTCTCCTCGGCTGCTACAACCTCCTATAACCTCTGATCCAGTACCAACACTTAGTCTACCTCAATACAAAAAGAAAGCGGCCCGATCCTCCTCCTACAGAGCGCCACAATTGTGGAACAACCTCCCGCACACTTTAAAATCTTTCCCAAGCCTAAAGTCCTTTAAGTGATCCCTCTCTACATACCTCAAAACAGAATGCACATGTCATGGTTGATTATATATTTCCTGCCTGTTCTATGTTAAATTTTGTATATATTGTGTATTAATATTGTTTTTGTATTTTATTGTACCATAATGTTTCTGCAGTTTTTTGTGGACCCAGGACACATTTGAAAACGAGATTAATCTCAATGTATCTTTCCTGGTAAAATATTTTGTACATAAAATATGCAGCCCTATGCTACCAGTCAGGATTTAAAATCTACACACCACAGCAAGACATAGTTTACCCTCCATTTGTAAATTTCGATTCACCAGAAATCAATTTTCACTATAAATGGTAAAGTAATGTCCAACCGGAATGATTTCACACTACAGCCATGATGTTAATGTATAAGTACATACACACAGAAGCTAACTTGCCATCTCTTCATTTAACACTTTTCTTTTCCCAATTTTCTTATTGCAGGGAAGATTTACTACACCCTGGAATTTTTATTTTTGCTTTAACCCATGCATTATAGCAATCTTAGCTTCCTTGTTTCACTGAGATCAGTAATGCTTTAGGCTTTTCATTTATGCAGATATTCAAGTGGAGAGGTAAAAACCCCACTGCAACATAAAGCTGAAGTCTGAGAGAAATCTTATTTTGTGTTACTGCGTGTTAGTAATCCTAGTTTTTATGTAATTATTTTGAAAACATAGTAAGTTGCTGAAACAGAATATTTAAAAATACATTCAACCATACATGTGCAGACATACATACAAATACACAAAACAATAAAAACTTGAAGGAGCATTCAATCTTACTTTGTTGTTCCCGGCCTGTTCCTTTGTCTTTTGCAGACACGTGAACAATTCCATTGGCATCAATATCAAAAGTGACTTCAATTTGTGGTACTCCACGAGGTGCTGGTGGGATTCCAACCTAAAGGGGGCACACAATGTACTTTTATTAACAAACAAACAAAAATAAATAAATATATATATGAAAACGCAAAGGACTAAAATATATCGTTTACATTCAACACTACCTAATACTGAACTCACAGTGGGTCATGTCAGAAATAGCATCATGGAAGTGCAGTTGGACCCTCGTTAGGAGCCCATATGGGGCAAAGTTATTTATAATTCTCCAACTGAATAGCAACGTAGAACTGTGACAAACTGGGATCCTTACTAGAGGCGCTGTCTTCCCACTTTCCACTCATGTGGAAGTACTGGAAGGCTATGATATCATGTCACTTCCTCCCAACGTGCAGATGTAAGGGATAGCCCTACAAAGTACAGCCTGACACAAACCACTGGCCTGCAGAAAAAAGTAGTTAAGGAGAAAGACTAAACAGCATGGATTTCATAATTTGTGTATACTGTGTGTATGTAGCAGTATCAAAATATGCAGGTGTTGAGTCCTGGATGGTATCACCCAAAATAAACAAACAAACATTCAGTATTCTATGCTTATCCCAATTCAGTTAAGGAACACTAGGCACCAAAACCGCCACAAGGTTAGTTTGCCGACTTATCCCTGCAATCATTTGCATTTCATGAAAAATTAGCACGCATGTAAAATGCGAAGGGATCATTTAGCACTGCTAGGAAAATATTTTATTAGTTTACTTTAAATGTTCAAGTGAAAATGTGTCCTGGCAGATCCAGAAGGTTGAGATTTTATTCAAGCATTTTGTGTTTTCATGTTTAATTAAACCTACCAATGTAAATTGCCCAAGGAGTTTGTTGTCATTAGCCATCTCTCTCTCTCCTTGGCACACTTTGATTTCGACTTGAGTCTGTCCATCAGCAGCAGTTGAGAATACCTATAAATTATACAAGTTATAGAATTGAGTCTATAATACATTACAATATAATTTCCATCATATCAAAATTTCACAAAAAAATAAAAGATAAAAAAATAATGTACATAAAGGGAACACCTCCCTCCCCACACACACACACCCTATTTGCAATACCTTGGGTTGCCTACTTTTGTAAATGGAATGACATCTGGGTAATTCTCATTCCTGGGCTACCATAAGGTCTCAAAGGCAACATAACCAATCTGGCAAATTTCGATGTGAAAAAAACTGAAATGCAAGCCTTATATTTGGCTAACTTTTGAAAACACCATAAAACCTGTAAAAATAAATATCATTCTAAGTGTATTTTAACATTAAAATACACTTAGACATAGTGTATGTGAGAATATATACCAAAAAATGAAAATTCAAGGGCTGCACTCACTGTCTGAATGATGAAGATATTATTTTATTCCCGGCAACTAAAGTAAATGCTGTGTGGTACATATGTCTTATTTAGCGTGAGTGCATGGAATATATACATACATACATACATACAACTTGGATCACACACACACATATACATACATATATATATATATATATATATACATATATACATATATATACATATATACATATATATACATATACACATATACATATACATATATACATATATATATATATATATATATATATATATATATATATATATACATATACACACACACACACACTGTACTTGGATCACACACACGTCATCGCGATCACATGGCCCGGATCAGCCCCAGGGGGACTGCCTGGGATGCCAGGCAAGTCCACACATCGCGATCGCCGCCAGCGATCAGGTAAGTGTATAAGACGGCGTGGACGTACTATGCCACCCCCCTGCGTTTAGGACTGGGTCCCCAGGGACGACAATGTACACCCGCCGTACTTAAGGGGTTATAGGAACTTGAAAAAAGTGTGGACACTATAGGATTAATAACAGGAAATGGAAGATTACACCATTTGAACAGCTAAACAAACATAATTTGAAACTAAAGAGAATCCAACAGTGAACAAATTGACAATAAGCAAACCAAAAAAAAAAGCACTCAAGAAACGAACAATCACTGAAAATCAGTTACCTGGCTTTTCTTTGTTGGTATAGTGGTGTTTCTTCCAATTAACTTTGTAAATACTCCACCAAGTGTTTCAATGCCAAGGGACAAAGGAGTGACGTCCAACAACAAGACATCAGTCACATCACCTGCTAACACTCCACCCTGAATGGCAGCCCCAATTGCAACAGCTTCATCAGGATTCACAGACTTGCTTGGAGCACGGCCAAATAAATCTTGCACAGTTTGTTGAACCTGTGTTAACAAATACATAACAATGAGAGACTGAACTTGATCGACTTGAGTCTTTTTCACCCTATATATTACTATGCAACTATATTGAATATATATATATATATATATATATATATATATATATATATATATATATATATATATATATATATATATATATATATATATATATATATATAAATAAATAGTGTACATTTGCAATATGCCTTTTACAATTACGTTTTGAATAGTTTAAAATTATTCTAAAGTCCAACATGAAATGCGAGAATAATATACATGTTTTATAGTTCAACTGTTTAAGTGTTCACCTTTGGCATTCTAGTCATTCCTCCAACAAGGAGAACTTCACCAATGTCACTTTTACTGACTTCCGCATCTTGCATAGCTTTCTGGCTTGGCGCAATTGTCCTTTTAATTAGATCAGCAACAATTCCCTCAAATTGTGAGCGAGTCAACTTAATGTTCAAATGCTTTGGCCCAGAAGCATCCATGGTAAGGTATGGCAGATTAATATCAGTCTACAACAAAAGTATTAACACCATGAGTTAGGGAAATTAGCAAATATACTAATTATGTTTTCAGTAAAGATGAATCATTTAACCATTGTTGTATCAATACTCTTTCAGTGGAAAAGGAATCAATGAGACAAAATAGAAAATAAATATTGCATAGTAAAGTCATCAGATATTGGTGCAGCAATTTTCATGCTTGGAACTTTGGCTGTGAGATCACTTGCGAATGTTCTTGCATTTAGAAATTCTAGGTAGGCAGAATAATGTACATGCAAATAATTTAAAGTACATCTTTTTTGTTTTGAATTAAAAAAAAAAAAAAAATAAATAAAAAGGAAAAATACCTGAACAGACGACGACAATTCACATTTTGCTTTTTCAGCCGCTTCTCTGACTCTTTGAAGAGCCATGTTGTCTTTGGTCAAGTCAACACCACTCTATTAAAATGTAAGGTATTAGATTAAAACAAATCAGTGTACATAACACAGGATGAAAAATAAAAAGTAAATCACATTTAACAGTTCACATTCAACAGAACAAATCTAGCAGTGATATTAACAGCCTATGAAAACTCATACCATCAACTTAGTAGAATAGTTCTCATTATAAGTTGTTTAACAATTTTCGTTTGCTTAAAAAAATAATTAAATAAAAAAAGGGTACAGTCCAAGTACCATAACCACCAGAGTTGTAGCAGAGTACTACTGTAACTTGTAGGAGTACTCTAGCACCACAATGTAGGAAAATAAACCATTTATGGTTTGACATCTTACCTGGCATCCACAGGTACTGCTCCACACCTACTCTATGCTGGAAGGAAAGCAGAAAGCTCCTAAGCAAAAGCGTCTGTTAGTTTTCCTGAGAATAGCCTGGCAGTGCAGGGTCAGCTCACTGGCTGAGTGTCAGCTGCTCTCAGCCAATAATCCCTGCTTGGTTGAAATCAGTGAAGATAATTTCCGTGACAGAGAAGGTACGCAGAAGCACTTTGCGGACCCAGGTAATAAGTCAAACCACTACTAAAACGGTTTGATTCTTCATATTGGGGGAAGCCCCACGGTACTGTAGGCTTCAAAAGTTTTGGTACCGTAAACTCTACAGCATGCTGTAGTGAAACTAGTGATTGGAGTATTCCTTTAAATCATAATTGGTGGCACTTTATAAAAAAAAAAATAAAAAAAATAAAAGTCTTCCCAGCTTAAACTTAAAGGAACATTTTAGCGTTCTGAATAGAAAGATGTATTCCGAACACTGACATGTTCCTCTATGCCTGTGGCACACCCATACCCGGGGCAGAGAAAAAGGAAACGGGGGGCGCACACACACAGAACATTCATTTCTCAGCAATGCTGCATCTGTAGAGTCCAATTTATACAAAATACAGATTAAGGAACAGCACACAAATAAAAATACAGCTTCTTAAAAATCACTTATCTCGAAAAAAAAAAAAAAAAAAAAAAAAATTAATGGGAATCAGTTTTACCATATGGCCCTATCATGGTAAAGGGAAACTATAGTGCCAGGAAAATTGTTTTTCTAGCACGATAGCTCCATATAGTGCCCTCCTCACTGGTGCAGAATCGATTATATCCCCAAAGTCCAGCTACGATGTTCCTCGGCGCCGGCTCAGGCTCCTCCTCCTCTGAAGATTCCTAAACACCTTAGACACACCTGGGTAATCCCCAAATCCTGGACGGTTAGGTGTGCCTTGAGGAGCATTGTGCTAGATGTACTCATGAAGAGTGCAAGACCATCCAGCATCAGTTAGGCGGCCAAAAGTCGCCTAACGACATGTAAGTCCCTCTAGTGGCTTTCTGGAAGACAGCCAGAAATGGTGGGGTTAACCAACAAAGGTAATTATGACAGTTTCTCAAACCAGGGAAGTGCACCAAGATGACTTCAATGAGCTTAAGTGGTCTGGGTGTCTATATAGTGTCTAAGTCCACCACTACTCCACAGTACCCCAATAACTGTGCGTCCCACTAATTCCAACGTGATCTATCACGATTTCTCTCCCACGCTGGAATTTGTGTACAATCCATTGACAATAGGGTATTATGGGGCACAGGTGGGCTTAACACAATATTGCGATATCGTGGAACTGAATCTCCATATTTGTTATCGGAGATAGGCGATTAGAAGTAGCCTTGTGCGCTGTTCCCTAATCTGTATTTAATGTGGTTTTTAGCAGCATTCAATGATACTCAATTGCTCATTTCTTGGCTCTAAATTATTGTCACAGTTCAAATTTGTAAAATAAGAATTGTTCAAATATGTTTATTAAGTCTTCAGAATACTGCTTAATGTGTGACGTCATGATTCCCATTTTATTCCAGAAGTTTGGTCCTTAAGGTGTTAAAGGACCACTGTACTGCCAGGAAAACTTTAGGTTTCTCTCCTCCCCCCCCCCACTGGGCCAAAGGGGATAAAACCCCTTCCGCCACTTACCTTTCTCCAGCGCCGGGCTCCCTTGACGCTGGGAACTCTCCTCCTCCTGCCGACGTCAGAGCCGAATGCGCAGCAAGATTCGCGCACGCATTCATACCGCCCATAGGAAAGCATTTCTCAATGCTTTCCGATGCTGCCAAAGGAGGTTCAACCAGTTATTAAATCCAGGGGTTCACATACTTTTCCCACCTGCACTGTGAATGTTTACATGATGTGTTCAATAAAAACATGGCAACATTTCATTCTTTGTGTGTTATTAGTTTAAGCAGACGGTGATTGTCTATTGTTGTGACTTAGATGATGATCGGATCACATTTTATGACCAATTTGTGCAGAAATCCATATCATTGCAAAGGGTTCACATACTTTTTCCTGCAACTGTATTTGTACATTGTTTTTCAAAACTTACTGCAGATTAATGATATCAATAAAAGTGTAAATTTTATGAAACTTTGACACTGAAAATATAGATTTGGCAGTGCGAGTGGAAGAGGAGAATGAGTCAATTAGTCATATTTAAAGTAATGGCCTACATTTTTCATATTGTAAGATGGCAGCAACGAAAGTAGATAAAAGCAATAATGCCATAAAGATAGTTGAATACACACTAAGTATTTTTTTTTTCTCAAAACCAACCTCTCTTTTAAATTGCTTTACAATGTGTTGCAGCAAAGCTTGATCAAAATCTTCACCCCCCAAGAAAGTGTCTCCATTGGTTGATTTAACTTCAAAGACACCTTTCTGAATCTCCAAGACTGAAATATCAAAAGTTCCACCACCAAGGTCATATACAGCAATACTGGAAAAAAAACCAAAAACAAACACGTTATTACATATAATCTATAATGAAGGAAATGGTGGCTGTAAATATCAACATTAGTGTTATTTTTCTTCAAAGCATCAAAATAAATATCACATTGAACACCAAATTCCCTCCAGCAGACACATATAATGTTAGACAGACAACACTGAAGTAAACCAAATACAAAACAAAGACTGCAGGGTCAAAATGCTGCCAAGTCCACCTTAGAGGAATAAAGCTTACTGCCAGTACATTTTTTTTAACTTTTAAAATTTACATCACATGCACGATTATCCTGGTATAGAATGGGATTTAATAGAGGCATTAAGTTTTATAATCTTTTGCAAACTATTCATGAGGCCATAAAGCATGAGAGTGTAGTGTACTACATTTCTATTACTGCACACCATATTCTTGATGAATTTCTAGGTGAAGTCAAAATGGATTGTAACTGTTAAAAAGTCACATTTCTCCTCGCATTGCTTTTTGGTTAATTTGTAAGGTTAGTATGGGATTTTTTTGCTAAACAGTTTATAGTGAGTGCACGTCATAACACTGATTAATAAACATATTTAACGGCCAAATAAGATAGTTGTGTAATTGCAGTTATGTTAAAAGCAGTCGGATTAGTTTTGCCCACTTGCAAAATGTGTCTGAGGCAGAGGCATAAGGAGGACAGCCATTGTGAGGGAGAAGTCAGTCCATTTTTATTTAATTAACCCATTAGAAAGACCCTTTGCACCTTTTTAGTGCTGTAAGTAATCGGTTGTCTATTTTGATACTTCTGAACAGAATTTACTTACACTTTATCATCAGATTTGTCTAAACCATATGCAAGAGCAGCAGCAGTAGGCTCATTAATGACTCGAAGAACATTTAGACCAGCAATCTGTCCAGCATCTTTTGTTGCCTGAAATGAAGCAAAAATAAAAATTTTTTTTTTTTTAAACAATAAACTATATGTTTAGGCAAGCATTGCACATCTTAAAGAAACATTACTAAAAGGATAGTTACACATTATTTCTAGATAAAAGGGACAGTATCTATGCATTAAACCACTACTTCAGAATGTTGTGCTTTAGGTACTTATGGATCTTAAAGGAACACTTTAAAAAAAGGTATAGCTGTAGCTATACCCACATTAACCTGTAGTTGTTCTGGTAACGATAGAATCCCTTTAATCAAAATGTATCATGTAGAACACTAAAAAGAGGACTGTCACCTCAAAACTATTAATAAATAAATATAAAACTTGAAGGATTGCTATAGTAAATAATTTATTTATAAAAGGGAAGCTATAGCTTGCTTCCCCCTTTGTCACCGCCCACCCACGTGGTGCCGAAGCGTTAACTGTCACTTACCTGGGTCCAGGTTTCAGCTTCGCCGACGCTTTTCCCCCCGCCGATGTCTGCCGGCTGGGGAGTCCTAATGTGCATGAGCAGAAATAGCCGCGCTCACAGTTGGATTCCCCCATAGGGAAGCATTATACAATGCTTTCCTATAGGGAATCCGGTGCCTCTGGAAGTCCTCATGCATAGCGTGAGTGTGTCCAGCGTTATTTAGGTGACCAAAAGTAGCCTTCAAACCCGAAAATTCTTCTAGTGGCTGTCTGGTAGACGGCAGAGGAGGAGGAGTTAACCCTAGCAGGTAATTATTGCAGTTTATAAGAACTGCAATAATTACCACTCTAGGGTTAAGGGTGATGGGATTTTGCACCCAGACCACTTCAATGAGCTGCCTACAGTGACCCTTTAAATTAAACGGGATACTTAAGGCATCAAAACAACTTTAGTTTAATAAAGCAGTTATGCTGTATAGATCATGCACCTGCAGTCTTACTGCTCAAATCTCTGCCATTTAGGAGTTACATCACTTGGTTTATGCAGCCCTAGTCACACCACCCTGCATGTTACTTACAGACTCCCTAAACACTTCCTGTAAAGATTCATCTGAAGTTTACACTTCCTTTATTGCAAATCCGGTTTCATTCAGAATTTCTTATCTACTGCTCTTATCTACACCCTGCAGGAGCCTCATGTGTAAACAAAAATAAATTTACAGGGTAGTAGATAAAAAAACTTTTAACCCCTTAAGGACACATGACATGTGTGACATGTCATGATTCCCTTTTATTCCATAAGTTTGGTCCTTAAGGGGTTAAAGCAAGGCAACATTCTAAAAAAAATTAGAAAATGTTTTCCATACAGGCTGTGTAACTCCTGTGTATGGTGTGGTGAGGCCTGCCTTGACAGAAACAAAGTAATTTAACTCCTGAAAGGCAGATAAATTTAAGCCATTTATATGTTACTTTGGTCAGATAGTGTTTGAAAACAAAGCCTCAGTGGTCTTCCCTGCTTCACTCCCTGCCCGTTTTCATACATTGTCTGACCAAAGGTGTGAGTATATCACTGAAAGATCCGGTCATATGCTAGAATGTAGGGATGATATTTACGTTTTTAACAAACTTGCATTGAGTCTACACAGTAAATGACTGGAGCCAGATTGGAGAAGCAGTTTTACATGGAAAAATACAAACCAACCTAAACCTACCCAGTCATATGAAAGGAGGTATCTTTACCGGAGTTAATCATAAAGTGTGAATTTCAAATTTAAGGCTAAAGTGGCCCAACTGGCAGGAAAAGCTAACTTAGGAAATGTTTCCTGTTTGGCTATTTTTATCTTTCATTTGAAATTCACACTATAGTGAATAGTCCTGTAGGTGTTAAACTTTAAAAAACAACATAGACTAAATCCTCCACACACATTGCCGCTGCCAGTATGCCACTCCAGAGTCCGGTCTCTGGTCTAACCCAAATGGCGCCATCCGCACCCTGTGCCAAATCTGATCCTCTCGCTACTTCTTGAAACCCTGTAAAGATAGAGCACGTTGATGTCACGTCGGAATGTGACGTGGCGTGCCTCCATGCATCTCCAGGTGCTCCAATGTCCAGTCAATGCAACACACACCATTTTCTTTATTGCTCCCTACCTTTGGGAGCTGATGTGGGGCCTCTATCTGCTCCTCACTGCTCCCTCGCATGCAGTTTTGTGATGCTGGGTGAAGGAACATGAGGTCATATTCCAGCGCCCGGCTTCACTACAGACAGCGCGCCGACAGAGCAGCAACACTGAGCTCCCTCGCTGGCCCTCCTCCCCGGCCGGATAAATTTTAGCAGAGCAGGCACCTGCAATGTGGAGAAAGCAGGTGCCTACTCTGCTTTAACACCAAGCATGTACATGCGGCCCACGAGTTTGACATGCTTGTAGTAGATTATCTAGACAATTATGTAACAAAAAGACACCAACATCCAAAACTCCACAACTGTGTTACAGAGAGTTAACCAATTACAGTGATGACTAACCTGCCTCTGTGAGTCATTGAAGTAAGCTGGTACAGTAATAACAGCATTCTTTGCAGAATGTCCCAAATAATTTTCTGGAAAGGAGAAAAAATAAAAAAATAAAACAACTCGTTAGTATCTTTGGTATGCAAATATGCATTTTCCAATTTAAAAAAAAAAAAAAAAAAAAAAAAAAAAAAAAAAAAAAAAAAACCACAAACTTTAAAATGTCACCTGATTTTTATAATCAAGTATGCATTATTCAAGAAAAGTATTTAGAAAATTGGATAAAACGTGTACAAAATTGTGACATTCTTTAAACTACACTAGATAGTTTTTATTCACAAAGATAGGGAGAATATTATACATGAAGCCAACTCACCATCCATTCCACTTAAGATTGATTAAAGGACCACTCTAGTGTCAGGAAAACAAACTTTTTCCTGACACTATATAATCCTTAGGTCCCCCCCCACCCTCAGGTTCCGCCTTCAGCTTGGCTGAAGGGATTAAATTCCCTTCAGGAAATTACTTTTATCCAGCGCCAGGCTCCCTCTGCACTGGTGGCCTCTCCTCCCCCTGCGACATCAGCTCCCGCATGCGCAGCCAGAGCCGCGCGCGCATTAAAAACGCCCATAGGAAAGCATTTCTCAATGCTTTCCTATGGACGTTCTGCATGCTCGATGTGATTTTCATGCATTGAGCGTCGTGGAAGCGCCTCTAGCAGCTGTCAGGAAGACAGCCACTATAAGCTGGATTAACCCTGCAATGTAAACATAGCAGTTTTGCCCATCATTGGATGGAATGTGTTGGCTGAGAAAAGTATATTTGTTGCAGGTATGTCACCAAGGAGTGTGCACCAGAGGCAATTGTGGACCGAAGTAAGTGTAAATTATTCAATTGTATGTTACTAAGAGAATATATTATTAACATAATTTAATAAAAATATTTTTTTTTTTTTCCCCCACAGCTTCTTTCAGCTGTTTAGTATTTAAATAGATTAGGGACTGGGCACTCAAACGGCAGATGAAATTTAACGTAGAGAAATGCAAAGTTATGCACTTCGGGGTTAAGAATGCACAAGCAACTTACACCCTAAAATGGTAGTGAATAAGGGGTAACCACACACGAGAAGGATTTGGGAATTGTTATAGACAAATTAGGCAACAATATGGAATGTCAATCTACATTTGCTAATGCCAGTAAGGTTTTGTCATGTATAGATAGAGGCATAAATTCTCGGGATGAAAATATAATTTTGACTCTTTATAAAAATCGATTGAATATGCTGTGCAATTTTGAAGCGCCTGCTCTAAAGAAGGATATCATGGCACTAGAAAAAGTGCAGAGACAAGCTGCAAAATTGATTAAAGGACCACTATAGTACCAGGAAAACATAATCTGGGGAGAGTAAAAGGGTTAAATTTACCTTTTTTCCAGTGCCGGGCAGGGAGCTCGCCTCCTTTTCTCCGGCTGAATGCGCATGTGCGGCAAGAGCTGCGCGCATTCAGCCGGTCTCATAGGAAAGCATTTACAATGCTTTCCTATGGACGCTTGCGTGTTCTCACTGTGATTTTCACAGTGAGAATCACGCAAGCGCCTCTAGCGGTTGTCAATGAGACAGCCACTAGAAGATTTGGAGGCTGGATTAACCCCATTATAAACATAGCAGTTTCTCTGAAAATGCTATGTTTATATATATAAAAAAAAAAAAAAAAAAAGAGGGACCTGGCACCCAGACCACTTCATTAAGCTGAAGTGGTCTGGGTGCCTAGAGTGGTCCTTTAAAGGAATGGAGCATTTTAGTTACCAAGAAAAGTTTAAAAAAAAAAAAAAAACGTAGATCTCCATAGTTTGGAAAAACAGCGCATCAGAGGGGATATGATTTAGCAGATTTATACCTTAAGGTGACCTTGCATCCATTTATTGCCATGAGACCCACCCCCTCATTTTTTATTTTTTTTTCCTCAAGAAGTGTTGCAGATGCGCCTCTAGCGGCTGTCAGAAACATAGCCACTAGAGGTTGGATTACCCCTGCTATGTAAACATAGTTTCCCTGAAATTGCTATGTTTACATGTGAAGGGTTAAAACCTGAGGGACCTGGCACCCAGACCACTTCATTGAGCTGAAGTGGTCTGGGTGACTACAGTGTCCCTTTAATCCACAGGCATAACTGCACTTGTATATATTGGATATGCACAGCAATTTGTTATCAAAGACCAAGGTCATAGTTTAGGTCTCAACCACTTGCTATGGTCGGGCTTTGCAGTCACACAAATAATGCAAAGGTTCCACTTCCATAGTGTCAGACTATATACCAGGATTTGGGAGGCTTAGTATTTGTCAATTTGCGTTGAAACGCTGCACATACAGAAATATTTGCACTTATGTTCCAGAGGCTAGTTGTACCCCCGGCACACCTTTTTTCTGTTTAAGTCAACCAGAAACTGGAGTAAATGAAAAGACGAAGCATTGGCAGCAATAATTTGCCATAGTGAATAACTGGATTAGCGAGGTTAATGTAGCATTTCCACTCTGCAATGTCTGGTTGCTCTAGTAAGAAATCTCAAATGTTATGGACCAATTTACAAAATTAAAAACTACCTTAAAAATTATACATAATACTATTAAGTATGTTGCAAACATACCTGCAGTCTCTTTCATCTTTATTAACACAAATGCTCCAATTTGGCTGGGAGAATACATTTTTCCATGTGCTTCCAACCAGGCATCGCCATTTGAAGCACGTACAATTTTGAAGGGAACGTTTTTACTGAGGAGAAAAATACACACATTTCAGTCACCATGGATAGCAAGCTATACTTGTAAACAGTGCTTTTGTCACCTTAATTCCTATACAGAATGTGCATGACTACCATTACCCATTGAGACAATGCATATATTTCGTTCACAGTTCTGGCAGATGGAAGCAATATTACACAACTCTCCTCTACAATGGCATAAAGGCGAGTAAAAGAAGACAATTTAAAAAAATAAAATAAGCAGCTTAGTAGATTGTGCCCACTCGAGAAACTCACATTTATTAAAACAGCAATGAAGTAAGATGTTTTGAGACCCTGTCCATTTCTCAATGTACAACGCTCTAACATCAATATAATTCAGCCACCCTACACCCAAAATGGGGTGCCATTTGAGTCATATTTTGTGGGGAGTATTCGATTTACACTTAAGGGCATTTTACATTGAGAAAGGGATAGAGCCCAAACATCTCTTCATGATATCTATCCAATAACTGAGCATTGTGGTTTAGATTTTGCAGCTACTGAAACCATAGCAATTTTTACAAATGTGCTGACCTAGGATTAATGTTTTTGGTGGTTTCTTGGCACTGCAATGACCACACTAGAAGGATAAAACACTGTAAAGGAACACAAACATTCCAAAAAGTTAACTTTTTCTAAAGTGTCTCTTGTTGCTGCTCCACTATGCCCCCAGAAGACAGTCTACCTTCCTTTGCAGACAAATACTGCTGCAATTTCTTTGAATGTGCCAATCAGATGCAGTGATTGTCCAAATGAAAGCTTCCCTGTGGCAGCTATCAGGTCTGCTTAAATGAGTGTTCAACTGCAGTGAATCAGGAAGACCTAATTGTCAGCTCAATGGCCAGAGTAGTGTTCCTAAGTTCTTTTTCCTGAAAAAGGGTACTTTCATGAATTGGGACAAGTGGGACTAGAGTGTCCCTTTAAGCAAGGCTAATTGACAAGACACGTAATCAATTTGTTTAGAGTGCCTGTTATACAAAAGACAAATTTCTCAAACCACAGAACAGGAGATGAGAGATCTGCGCCAAGACCTAAACGCACTGAAAAATATAGTCACTCAGATGCAAACCACACAGTCCATTATCACAAGGCAAGTTAATCTGCTAGATGACAGGAGCAGGATATAAAAAAAAAGTCAAGATAGGGGGAGTGTGTATCGGAAGCAGTACCACTGGAGAAACTCCCCCACTTTATAAGGCGCTTAGAGGCCTCGCTCCTACCCAACAGGCAATCTTAACGCTTCACGTTTGATGGCGTATATCGCATCGCCAAATCCTTGCAAGCACCGAAGACAGCTCCACGCAACCTCATCTTGCGAAGCCAAATAGATAAAATAGCCCTAATGGCAAAACGCCAAACACCTTTGAAATGCACCAAATCACCTTCTTCCAAGACCTGAGCAAAGACACGCTATCATGGCGCAAGAGCATGCAGCCCATAACCACTACCCTACAAACGGCAGGAATCACATACAGGTGAGCAACCCCTAGAATGCTCTGGGTGGCCAAGGATAAACAATCCTACAAAATCTCTGACCCGGGAGAAGGCCCTGCCTTACTAGCCACGCTGGGAATGTCCAACAGCACTACAGGGTTACCCACTACGCAACCTGGGCCCACGACCTGAAGCCTCAGCTGACCACGCAACCAATTTTGATTTTTGTTAATGTTATTACTATTTATATTGCTCAAATCTCCTTACATTTATGATTTATAGCTTGACTTTCTAAGTGCGCACAATACTCCCCTCACTGACGCTGAAGCGCTGCCCATCCACTTGTAGACCCACCTCAGAATACACTGACTGCGTAATACAAACTGGCTCTGGGGTGCAAAACCCCTTCTCCCTCCAATGCCCTTGAGGGATGGCGTAAAGCTGGCAAGTGAACGACCACGCGACAATATAAAAGTACCCCCAACTGACAGATACCCTACAGAGACTACCCGAAGCGGACCTACACTCTCACTCCCCACATCCATAGCCAGTACCGAACAGACCATCACCACACTGGTGACACACTCGCCTAGCTGAGACCAGAGACCTATCTGGTAAATACACAACATGGCTAAACAGTCCCCACAAGGCAAGAGAGCTAACCCACACACTCTTGAACACAGGACGCCCTATACTACCCATGGCAACCCTCTCAGGCGTTACCCTCCCCGCGACTTACCTATATCACTAGAAGCCTCCCCCGCCCACCTTTGACGAGCCCATTTGACCACCCCAAACACATAGAGCTGACTAGATCCCTATGACGACTAGGCCACTTCAAAAAGTGCAAACCACATCTAAGCCAGGCATGTCCCGCACCCTATTGACTAATGGCCTATATGTTACCATGTTGTATGGCGTTATGAAAATGTTATGCACTGAAAAAAATAAAGAATTTAAAAAAAATAAAAATAAAAAAAAAATTGGGTTATTCACTAATGAAATACCAAAAATACAAAGTGAATTTTTAGTTTGGCTATTATAGTCTAAAATTTTAAAATTTCTGAATTTTCCTACTATTGACACTCAAGTAAATAATTATTTTATGTACTTTACAAAATTGTGAAAAGAGACTGCATATGGTAAACTTACCTTACCATTTTTAATAATTAGATTATTTTCTAATTATTGTTCGGCCATTGACATAATGGTTACTAAAAACAGCTTTTTTTTAAAAAAAAAATCCTTATTTCAATTTAAACCACACCATTAGTTCAACACATTTTAAAAATAGTTTAGATATTCACGCACGTGTCTTTTTGAACCTCAGAATCATCAAATCTCCGGCCAATAAGACGTTTTGTTGCATAGAAAGTGTTGTTGGGATTAGTGACTGCCTGGCGTTTAGCTGGCATCCCCACTAACCGCTCACCATCAGCTGAGAAAGCTACAACAGATGGAGTTGTTCTAGCACCTTCAGAGTTTTCAAGAACCTAGGAAATTAAAGGAAAAGGGACACAGAAAATTAACAATTAGCATTATGAACCTTTTTACCAACATTCTTAACCCCTTAAGGACCAAACTTCTGGAATAAAAGGGAATCATGACATGTCACACGTCATGTGTCCTTAAGGGGTTAAAAGGATACTCCAAACACCCAGACCACTTCTGCCCATTGGAGTGGTCTGGGTGCCAACTCCCACTACCCTTAACCCTGCAAGTGTAATTATTGCAGTTTTTATAAACTGCAATATTTACATTGCAGGGTTAAGGCCTCCTCTAGTGGCTGTCCTCTAGACAGCTGTGTTTTAAAACAACGCTGGAGGTCCTCACGCTATGTGAGGACCTCCAGCGTCACCGAAATCTCCATAGGAAAGCATTGTATAATGCTTTTCTATGGGGAGGTCTAATGCGCATTAGGTCTCCCCCGCCGGCTGACGTGGGCAGGAGAGAAGCATGGGCAGAGCCTGACATCAGCGCTGGACTCCAGTAAGTGGCTGAAGGTGTTTTAATCCCTTGGGATGGGGGGTGGGAGGGAGAGAGGCAATAGAGGGTCCTGCAGTGCCAGGAAAACTATTATGTTTTCCTGGCACTGGAGAATCCCTTTAACTCATGTAATACTTTTCATAGAGTACAAGGATACCACAATGAACAAGCTTCTTAAGTTACATTTGAAGAGTTAACATTTAATCATTAACACAACTGAAAGGGATTTTCTGACAATACATTATCCATGAAGATGTAAATAGGAAAAAGCTCAAGATTGACACACTGCCTCTACGGAAAAGAATGCATCAGACAAAAAAAATGTCAAGAATACGAAACAGGGTTATACACTAAAGTGAATTTAAAGTCAAAATAGTGAACTGGAGAAATTCGCAAAGTGAGCAATGCTTTCAGGTTGACTACTCTGGCCTTAAAGTTGAAATTCACTTTGAAGTGGTTATTTACAAAAGTTCAAAGTAATTCAGTATCTTACCTTTGCTTGCTTTCCCTCCATAACAGCAACACAAGAGTTTGTTGTTCCAAGATCAATACCAATAACTGCTCCTTTAATGGCTTCAGACCTGGGAGATTAAATCAAATATTTAATATATATCAAATAGACATCAAATTATATCACCTTCATAGCACTTTGGATTTATCAAAGATATCAGATTAATAGTTGAGCAGTGGTAAACGAATGGTCATCATTATCCACTGAATTGATCATTGCCAGAAATTCAAGTAGAAAAAAACACTTTACAGAACTGAAAAGGAGAATTTATCAAATTAACATTTTTTAAATAAATGGCAATTCTCACTTTAGTGAATATATAAGCCATGAGGACTGAAAGCCACATTGGCTTGGAGACCAGCTTTATACCCTACAGACACAAAGTTTGCTGCATTGTATTAAGAATCACGCTTCTACAATGCCATGATTGTCAGTGCATGCCAACTGCCCAGCAAGGTGATTCTGACATGCAATGTCATTTTATCCCTGCCACACACTGATACGTGGCTAAAGAGTAATGAAGACATATTTAAATATAAATTTATAGTGTGAAGAGTCCCAGAATGAAAGTGTACTGCAGATCAACACTGTACCAAAGCACAGTCTGCTGTTGTGGTTCTAAAATGAATCCTCATATTCCCCAGCCAGGTTAAAAAAAAATAAAATAAAAAAAAACACACACACACACACACACACACACACACACTCACACAGGTCCTGGATTTGCGATCAGTACTAGTCTGAAGAAGGAACGAATGTTAAGCAGGGCTATGCTTCATTGTGGATGTTAGGTTAGTAATGTTTATGATACATTATCCACATAAATTTTTTGTGTAAAAATATTACTGTAAGTGTGGAAACTGTAAATAAATGGTCTGTTTCTGAACAAAAAGGGTATGGCTCTTAAACTTTGGCCCTGGATCCTAGGGAAACACAAATGCTGTTTGAGTTATTTGAGCAGAGAAAAAAAAAAAAAAAAAATATCCTTCCCAGCTTCCACTCCACCAGCTAAAAGTGAACCAAAGTGTCACATCAACTTTGCTATGATTTAATGATTTGGCGAAAATAAATTGCTGCTTACTACTGTAATGCGTTATTTTACGTGCATAAGCAGAAGGGCTTCCTAGGTAAATTTCATACACTTTCATGCACATTCGTTCCCAATTAATTTCTATGAAAAGCAATGGATTGGGCAAAGGTCATCAAAAATCAATTACTTAACTGGAGATGGAGCAGCTGCACTGAGTAGACTTTCCTGGCAATGAATTACAAGGAAGTTTACTTTTTTTTTTTTTTTTTTTTTATTATTTAGTTTTAAAAGGGGGATGTAACTGAAGCACTATTAGCAATTCTACTGGCAAAATGTATAGATTTTTTAATGAAGTTATTTAGGTGCCATATACAATGCTTTCAAAGCAGGTCTAATGGCTGTCACTTAGACAGTTACCAAAAGGTGTTTCTAAGGACAAAGATTAAAACTGCCATTTCATTCAGATCGTATTAGGGAGACCATCTAATGCAGCATTTAGCGGCGCGTGCACACTCCTATGAGAAAGCATTGTATTGGTTGAGCGCATGATGAGGAATACACACTTCTATTTCCAACGCTAGGAAGGTTCTGTATACCAGCTCCACAGTTGTGGTTTAAATACATAAGTGAAGATTATTCAATTACCATATATACTCGAGTATAAGCCGAGTTTTTCGGCACATTTTTTGTGCTGAAAAACCCCCACTAGGCTTATACTCGAGTCAGTCTGTATTGTGGCAATTTACATAATACAGACCAGGACCGTCGGGCTCATTACAAGCCCGGCGGTCCTGTTGGGGGCTGGCAGCGAGCTGTTACTTACCTTCCTGCAGCTCCTGTCAGCTCCTTTCTCCTCCGTGCAGCTCCTCTGTCAGCTTCGTTCTGCTTACAGTGTAAGTCTCGCAGGTCTCCTGACAGAGGAGCTGCACGGAGGAGAAGGGAGCTGACAGAAGCTGCTTGAAGGTAAGTAACAGCTCTCTGTCAGCCCCCCCACTGAACAGCCAATGCCACTGGACCACCAGGGATTCAGTATTATTTTAATAATAATAAAATAATATTATTAAAATAATATAATATTAAAATAATAATATGATTTTATGATATTATTAATATTTTAATATTTGCATTATTTTTTTTAAATGGTTTTCTGTCCCCCCTCCCTGCTTGTTGCCTGGCCAGGGAGGGGGGACAAAAAACATTTTAAAAAAAATAATGCAAATCTTAAAATAATATTGTAATAATAAAATAATATTATTATTTTAATATTATATTCTTTTAATATTATTTTAGTATTGTATTATTATTTTAATATTTGCATTATTTTTTTTTAAATGTTTTTTTGTCCCCCCTCCCTGGCCAGGCAACAAGCAGGGAGGGGGGACAAAAAAACACTTTAAAAAAAAAATTATGCAAATATTGAAATAATAATAATAATATAATAATAAAATAATGTTGTTAAAATAATATAATATTAAAATTATAATAATAAGATAATATTATTAAAATAATATAATATTAAAAAAATAATATTAAAATTAAAAAATTTAAATAAAAATGCCCTCCCCTCACCCAGTTTACACACACTGCATTATATACACATTGCATTCATTATATACACACACAACACACAAACTGCATTCATTATATATACACACAAACGCACTCTGCATTCATTATATACACACACAAACACACACTCTGCATTCATTATACACATACACACTCTGCATTCATTATACACACACACACACACACACACACTCTGCATTCATTCTATACACACACTGTAAATAAATATTCAATTAATGTAATTTTATTGGGATCTACCGGTAATTTTATTTAGAAATTTACCAGTAGTTGCTGCATTTCCCACCCTAGGCTTATACTCAAGTCAATAAGTTTTCCCATTTTTTTGTGGTAAAATTAGGGGTCTCGGCTTATATTCGGGTCGGCTTATACTCGAGTATATACGGTATATCAAGTTGAAAAACCAAATTACTTACGCATAGTCGCGTTTACTCATTGACCTAAGAAGATCTTGACTGAGACCATTAAATTGCCCCTGCAAAACAAAATTATACAAGTTACACATTATGTCCAAATTAAATCATTCTAAATTACAGTTTTTCTAAATTTAATGACAAAAAGCAATTTTACAAATAAACGAAGAATTATAAAGCAACACAAAACGATTATATACACATACCCACATTACAACAATTCAATATGTTTAAAATTTGAAATGACTGCAAAATTCCCCTTTAAACGTCTTTTGAAGACATATTTACACTACCACACCAGTTAAAGGATACCTTATTTTAATGTGTGAAACAGATATTCAGAATTTCTTCATCTGCATACTAGTCAGACAGTTATGGGGTTAACTAAATCGGCCCTGTCACTTAAAAAATACCTTTCCCCTATTGTTTCCCCAGAGTACGTTCTTTCCTGATCTATAGCTCTTTGTCATGTATTTTTCCTACGCTTCACAATGGGTGGAGATTAAGGCAAGCTTCACTTCCCTTGTCATGATAGTGGAGCTTGCAGGGCACTCCACTTTTGGTCAAGATTCTCAAGTGTAGGAAAATCATATGACAATGTAATCCCCATTTATCTTATGTCTTAAAGGGGCACTGTCATGCCAAATTAACCTTTCCCCAATCGCTTCCCTCTTCTCTCAGGATCTGTTCTTCATTTCTTCCTGCTTGCTCTAGTTTTCTTTAAAACATAAGACGTAGTAGGGACTACTTTGTAGTATTTCTTTTTCCTACGCTTTGACCCAGAGGAGGAAGTGCAGTTTCCCACAAATCCCACCTTTCCTACGTGTTCTTGCAATGACTCCTTTCAGTATTCCCGAATGCCTGCAAAACTAACGAATCGTGTTAGGACGAAATTCGGGACTTTTGTTTAGATCAGAATTTCATTCGAATGAATGAAACTCTGATCCTATTCATGCGGCAAGTAAATAGCTCCCTAATTCCCATGGTATTAGGGAGCTATCTACTAAAAGGCTGAAAGACCTAAATTGGTCTTTCAGTCAATATTACTAATACTAAGTAAAAATTACTTAGTATTAGTAATTAAGGGAGATTAAAATCTCCCTTCTGCCCCTACTCACTTTATCGAGTAGGGGCATGTCTACTAAACAGTGAGCTGCTCGCTGTTGTGTGTGTAAAAAAAAAAAAAAGTTGCGATGCAACTAAACAGGGGACATAGGGTCCCCCTTGGCCCCCCACCCATGAGCGGCGGGTGGTGTCTATAAATGAAAATGTAGGGGGTTGGGGGGGGGGGCGGGGAGGGGAGGACACACACACACCTATTGTCAACCCCACCCCCTGCCACCCACCCCAAAAACAAAAAAAAATAAAATAAAAATTTAAGCCCTACCTACCCCCCTCACCCAAAAAAATAGTGAGGGGGAGACAATAATACTAAATACATGTAAATAAATAAAAAAAATATAAATAAATACTTACCATTTGATGTCTTTTTTCAGCCCCCAAAAAGACCAAACAAAAATCCATAATACCCGAACTTAAAAAAAAAAAAAATTAGAGCGAGCAAAAAAAAAAAAAAGTTTTCCCCATGCCCTGCAATTTGACTCAGAGTACTCTGATTGGTTGGTTTAAGCCAACCAATAACAGTGCTCTGACAGGTAAATTGTGAACCTTACAGGTAACCAATCTGTTTTTTTTATTTGGCTTTTTTGGGGCCAAAAAAAGTTTTAGAAATAAAAGACGACATCAAATTTATTTACAGGTGTTTTTAGGGTGGTAGGGCTTTAATTTATTTTGGGTGGGGTGACTAGGGGCTTGGGGACACAGTCACTCCTGGGGGGGTATTTTTACATTTATCCTCCCCCCCCCCAAATCACCCATGGGTGGGGACAATAGGCCCCCTCCTATTGTCATTTAGGGCCCCCACCTGCTGCTCATGGGTGGGGACAGGGCAATAGGTGTCCCACCACATTTTCATTTAGGGCACCATTTCCCCCTCGCTAGTTAATAGATGCCCCCAACCTTGAAGGCTGCTCACTGTTTAGTAGACATGTCCCTAGTCACAGCATAGCAAGTAGGGACATTCAAGAGATTCCATAGAGTGAGGGAGGACACGGGGGGCTATGAATTGACGGGGACCACAGCTCCCTGCCGCTTCTATTTTTACATATTACAAGGAAGGAGCTGCGAGATGGTAGCTCCCTCCTTGAAATAAACACAGATATTCTGTGTTTTTCTGAAATTTCTATTCATTCCTTCGTCTGACGAATTAATATACAACATTCCCATCCAAATTTTGGACAATAGCAAATACCCAAGTGTTTAACTGGGCATGCGCGGGAATTTCACAGCGCTATCTAGTGAGGGCAGATTAGGTGTCCCACAGGGACTTCATCAGCCCACACAAAAAAGGGGCGGCACCCAGTACCAGGCACGAAATTAAGATTAAAGGACCACTATAGGCACCCAGACCACTTCAGTTTAACCCCTTTAGGACCAAACTTCAGGAAAAAAAAGGGAATCATGACATGTCACACATGTCATGTGTCCTTAAGGGATTAATGAAGTGGTCTGGGTGCCAGGTCCATCTAGGTTTAACCCTGCCTGCTGTAAACATTACATGTGTGTTAATCCAGCCTCTAGTGGCTGTCTCATTGACAGCCACTAGATGTGATTTTCACAGTGAGAAGATGCCAGCGCCCATAGGAAAGCATTGAGAATGCTTGCCTATAGACAGATTGAATGCGTGCGCGGCTCTTGCCGCACATGCGCATTCAGCCAATGACGTCAGAAGGGGGAGGAGAGTACCCAGCTAGAAAGGTAAGATTTTAACCCCTTCAGCCCAGAGGGAGGGGGATCCTAAGGGTGGGAGGGCACCTATTAACATTATAGTGTCAGGAAAACGAGTTTGTTTCCCTGGCACCATAGAGGTCCTTTAAATAAAATATAAAATAAATAGATTTTAAAAAAAACAAAAAACGGTAATATGAGGTCTAAGGGGCATTTGGGGGTGACTGGGGGGGAGCAATTAGCTGTAGTTGAGTTGGGTAAAAAAAAAAAAAAAAAAAATGGATTCTGCCACGACACTACCGCTGTAAGGAGATAGAGATGAGAAATACAAGGGAAAAAAACCAAACAAGATAATCAGATTCTAAAAGAATAAGAGACATACATATGCAACTACCTATACTAAACACACCGAATAAACAAGGTTAAAAGGTTCCCGTGACCATATCTACCTGCCGAGCACATGTCAGCATATTACGGGTATTACTGCGGGAAGCGCAGGAGAGCAGGCGGGCGGCTGTTTTACTTGCGGTCAGCATAGTGTAGGTCGGTTGAAGGACGATCGGGCTGTAAGGACCAAGAAGCAGATCGCTAAAGACCGGCTAGTCACTCTGTCACTTCTAGAAGACTCCAGACCACGTGGGTGGGACTATAGAGTTCAAAGCATTGACCTCTCAATCCTCGTGACGTTCATCCCGCTTTACGCTGTCTTCTTCATGCCTGTCTGTACAGGACGTCGATCTAAAGCCATAGCAGCCATTGTAGACATTTACAACTGAACCTGTATTTTAGAAGAACAGTAAACTGCAAGCCGGCATGGCAGCGCTTAAAAGAATATAATAGTTACGTCTAATTCCTTTTTTTGTTCGACAGGCATTACCTTGGACAGCCGCCAGGGGTCCTTAGATGGGCCGTTCTTTCCAAGGTCACCTGGCATAGGAAGTGCATTCTTGCAGCGTGGTTACATCATTTAATTTGCTGCTTTGATGCTTCTAAAGATTCTGCTTTAAGAATAAGACACTCTAAACACCGCAAAATTCCAATGGCAGCAATGCACGAACACAGCATTTTGTTGAGAAAGTAAAGTGAGAATTTGAACAAAAACAGTGTCGCTGTCAGACCAAAATACATAATATACGTGTGCACTACAAATATTGGGATGGCGAAGTGTCTGGTATTGTGTATTAAGTACACCTATATGTTTACATAGTAGTGGCGACAATACTGAACATTAATGGAACAAACAATAAATAAAAAAAATAAAAACCTCTATAGCAGCTACCACAATGGCATGTTCTTCAATGCATGCTAGATATGGGAGTTTTAATTTAAATAAAAAGCTTAAAGGACCACTCTAGGCACCCAGACCACTTCAGCTTAATGAAGTGGTCTGGGTGCCAGGTCCTTCTAGGGTTAATCCATTTTTTCATAATGATAATTATCAATGGGTTAAGCCTTCCCCCTAATCCTCTAGTGGCTGTCTCATTGACAGCCACTAGAGGCGCTTGCGTGCTTCTCACTGTGAAAATCACAGTGAGAGCACGCAAGCGTCCATAGGAAAGCATTGCAAATGCTTTCCTATGCGATGGGCCGAATGCGCGTGCAGCTCTTGCTGTGCGTGCGCATTCAGCCGGCGGGGCGGATCGGAGGCGGAGAGAAGGAGGAGAGCTCTCCGCCCAGCGCTGGAAAAAGGTAAGTTATTACCCCTTTCCCCCTTCCAGAGCCGGGCGGGAGGGGGTCCCTGAGGGTGGGGGCACCCTCAGGGCACTATTGTGCCAGGAAAACGAGTATGTTTTCCTGGCACTATAGTGGTCCTTTAATTTTTTTTTTTTTTAACAAAACATGATTGAATCCATTGTTCCATAGGGGAATCCAGATTTGCTGCAATCTTTGTTCAATTAAATTTGTTTGTCTCTCTTAACAAGTAAAATTATCATTAATGATTACATTGCACTCCCATTATTTGAGTACCCTTATGCTAAGTGTAAATTGTATGTAACTAGCGGTACAATCCCTGCTTAAGGATATATAAGGAATAGGTGTCCACTCCAAACTGTTGTATATTCACTGGTGTAGAATATTATGGCAAAAAGGTGAAACACAACACAACAGGAAGTGGAGACCCTGATTGAATTTGTGCAGGCTCACCGGCTATGCGACCAAGTTTAAGCTAAGTATCATATGGGGCTGTCACATCACAGGAACCTCATCCCGCTCTAGGTACTGGAGACCCACTGTATACGTGTTAAGGAGGGAGTAGCACTTTGACTTTGAGTGTCTTCAAAAATAGGACAATGATGAAGGATGTAGTGTAGTATGTAAAATATAAATTAAATAATAGATACACTTACAGTGTATAGAGCAATCAGTTGGCTCTACTTCTGGAAAGTATAATCCCCGCTTGAGGATATGTGGTGTATTGGCTGATCCAGAAGGTATGTAAAATAAACAGGATAGACACAAAAATAGTGTAGTATGTTAATACTACCAGCATCATGAGTACATAAATAGAGCTACGCTCACATTTATTGGAGTCTTCTAGTCGCTCCATGTGAACTATCCTTTCCTCTCGTTGCATAGTGCCTATATTGAAGGACACTTCACAGCGCTACTCTCACCTTTACGTGTATACATCCTGTCTGACTGGAAAGGAGAGATGCTGGATCGGTTAGTTTGACCTGCCTCCTCCACTCCACCGGTACACTTCAAGTCCTAGAACCTACCATTCCTTTTTTTTTTAGCTAGGAACCCACTGACAGGGTATGTGCTGGATTTGCTTATATGATATAATATGGGCATCGAAATTTGTATTGTCTTCTCTACTCATGTTAGAGACCCTGAGTTGCAGTAGAACTCACTCGCAGGCACTATTCACCAATTATGTTTTATTTACTGTTTTAACAGTGCACAGACCCACATACACCCGAACCCTTGATACGCTATGCCCTCTGGAGGTCTGTTTTAGCTTGTGCTACCACCTTGGGCTCCCAGCTGAGCTTTCTGGAACTCCCATGTCCAGGCTAAGAGGGACCTCACTCATTCCCAGGGAGTGCCACCTGCACCTATATATTTTAGTGGTTACTGTGTGTTGAGTGACTCTCTAGTTACTTTCATCATGAGACCAGTCTTTTAATGGTGTCTGACATCTGACACTGTAAGATATCACCTTGTGTTAACCAAAAGGCTCCATCAACTACCCCCAGAGATTTTGGTGTCCTTGTTTCAGGTGAGTGCATCAGGACACCATGCAAGTCTGACCCCATGGCCCATACCAAACCTCTTCAACTTCAACACCTCCTGGCTGCCTGATAGGTGATTCCTGCTGTCTGTCTGGGACCAGGACACCCCTCCCCGTATATAACTAGACTGTCTCTAAAATGTAGGAGTTTTGACCTACTGCATTTTACTTGTCCAGATGATACACATGTGTAATGATACTTACAACTACAGACCCTTGGAGAAACCTTTTCATATGCAGTGGCCAGCCCCACTGGATTTTTGTCTTCTGAGTACCCCACGACAGGCATCAAGAGTCTAGGAGCCTTAACATCCCTGAAAAATGATCTTGTGCACTTTGCAACTTTAAGGCCCAGGGATGCAGTTTGTTTACATATAATAAACTATCTTTGAAGATAAACATGCACCCATGCTTACTAACCATATTTACATGCAGGGGTTCTTCAGCGGCAATCACCAGGGGAATTCCAAAGGCACTGCAATTTTGGTACACAAACACCCTATACCCAGAGGACAGATAGTGATACTATACCTTTTATTCCTTCCCAAACACGACATGCTCACGACTACACAATTTTTAATGTTCCATTATCACCTGACTAAACTCAGCCCAGATTGGAGTGACTTCTTGGTCTGACGATGCTACCATGACCCTGATTTCTCCATGCTTCCAGCCCAAGACTTCCCATTGGAGACTTAATGAGTTATTACTCTTTGACACCTGCTGACTCAGGAGATCCTGACCAGACTAAAACAATACTTTTAGGAAAACATGACGAGGTGAATCTTTCTCCTGTTAGTGTGCAAGTTACACAAATGCGTTATTTGGGGTCACTACATCTCCAAAAGGGCAGCCGTTAAGGAGACACGTAAAGCGCATATTTAAAAGCTGACAAGCAACATTCATCAGCTAGAGCTTATCCACAAGCATTTCCATGACTTTGCTCCCCTACAGGCCCTTACGGCAACAATTATATTGTCAGTGTTAGTGCCATTTGAGTGTGAAAAATGCAAAAATCACTTTCACTGATGATATCATCATTGTAATACATTTTACTGTTTTACATTTTGTGTTCAGCGAAGTCTTCCAAGTAAAACAGTACCCCCCATGTACAGGTTTTGTGGTGTCTTGGAAAGTTACAGGGTTAAATATAGTGCTAAGAAATTAAATTCCCTGGCCTTTCATACTGGGATGTCAGGCAGATCCCGCAAATTGTAATTAATAAAATGACCTAATTATGTAAAAATATTACATAAATATATACGTAGAATTATAATATATATATATATATATACATATGTATATATTTTTTTTTATTATTATTTTTATATATATATGTATATATGTAGTGATATATATGTATATACTTATGTATATAGATATATATATTATTTCGTTCTACATGTATTGTGATATCAATATATATTGGAAGGCGGAGCCTGAAGTTGTGGGAGGGGTTACCCAGCTATTTCAACTCAGGCCCCCTACACCACAGGGCTGATGCTGCCGGGTTAATTTCTACTGCCTAAAACTCCAAACAAGCTGGTCTGGGCCTACTGTGGCTCCCACGCCGATCAGACCGAGTTCTCCCTGCTCCAACATCTCCCATCATGATGTTCCAGCAACACGCAGTCAGAGACTCCCACACCGATCGGACCAAGTTCTCCCTGCTCCAACAACTCCCATCATGCTGTTCCAGCCACACGCAGTCAGAGACTCCCACGCCGATCGGACCAAGTTCACCCTGCTCCAACACCTCCCATCACGCTGTTCCAGCCACACGCAGTCAGAGACTGGCCGTTTGTTCCTGCCGGCACTATGAGACCCCTTCCCGGCTTCCCGGGCCTTTTCCTGGACCAAACATCCGTGTCCACCGAGTCTGGGTACTTTCCAGCCGCATAGCTGACCATTCACCTCACCGCAGCTTCCGGGTTTGCTTCATGCATCAGTCAAATGCACAAACCGTGAGTCTGCCTGAACAGGCTAAATCCATGAACAAACACTATTGTTTGCACGTTTACTTCCTTACATACCGTCCATTTGGGACTTTTTCCCCGTTCAGGACTTAAGTCAGTTCGCAGTCCTGCCTGCTTTTTGTTCCATTCCCATTTCGTTAGTTTCCTTTCGTCCAATTTCTACCGAACTAGTCTCCAATCTATCTCAGTTACATGCTGCCATCTAGCGGCCACTACAATCATAGTACCCATTTGTTAGTTTTACACTGTTCTCTGATACATGTAATGTCCAGGTTCTTTTGAATGTATTTAGCCTGCAACTAATTGTCCTTACATGCCCCCTGTAGTTCGGTTATGTTTGCTATGTTTCTTGTTATTATTTACGATTGTGCACGGATATTGTCAGTTTCCCATTACTGGTTCAGCTCTGGTACGCGTTTAATATTCACTACGTATATGGCATTTCCATCATATATTGCAATGTCTTATTCTATCACTTATGGACTTGGTACTGTTCTGAGGCAGTCATCACGTTCACATTTGTTACCATGTG